TAGTTAGCTATAGCATAGTTTAAAGCTAATAACACAACATCTAAATTAATATAAGTATCTTTGTTCTTAGTAAACTACAGATACTACTCTTAAATAAAATTTAAACTACCTTTAAATACCCCTTAACTAACTTATTAATCTGTATAAGTAATAAATATAAATAGACTTATTAATAAAATCTAAAATATATCTAAATATGTTTATAAAGAGCTTATATAGGCTTAAGCTTTTTAATAAGAGTACGTGAACTAATTCTAAACCCCTGCCCCTATGTATGCAGCTAGCAAGAAGGTCTAGCTAGACGCTAGAAATATCTAAATAAACTAATAATTAAAGAAACTTAATTAGAAAAACCTTAGCCCCTTTATAGTAGCCTATACAGTCTTATTGCACACTTACTAATTAATCCTACCTAATAGCATAAAGATACTGTAAGGACGGAGCTCTGTACCACTACGCTAATACAACTAAAAAGGTGCGAATAATCAACCAACAGTTAATTATTGCGTACAGAATAGTATATATACCTGTCGCACGTAAGCACCATCTTGGCCTTACATTATCTCCCTTCTTAGCAGACGCATGTCCCAGGCGTCACATGACCTACCCGCAGCTCAGAGGCGCCTATGCGCATGTCTCGGTTACCGGCCAGAGGCTGACCACCTGCGGCTCAGAGGCGCGGGATAAATAACAACGCTTAGTGGCCCACGCCAGCTAAGCCATATACACTAGACCTTCCAGCAGCAACAACGTGGCGCCAGAAGAGGCCGCCTCACGTTTCAGTCTAAAAACTGGCTTAAAGCTGACCGAGGTGGGGGTCGAACACCGACCGTACCCCGCTGTTGGTTGTATTGGCGTAGTGGTACAGAGCTCCGTCCTTACAGATACACCCTGTGTTCTATGTATTATTGCTGCGCTAAGCAGCCCCTAAATCTAACTATCTACCTAGACAGCTAAACCTGCTACTTAAACCTGTTATTATAAACAACAAACTAAAATATATTGTAGACAATGTTAAATAGATCTAGTTTAACAAAAAAAAATATATCTATAAATACTTTATAAAATAGACTAGATATAACAAACTGTTATAGGAACCTGCAGAAGCTCTATAAGAGAACTCTGCAGTAACTTAATTCTACACCTAATACCTATCTAAACTAAACCTATACCCTAATAAAGACAACCTAATGCTAGAACTACTAATGTAAAGGATTCCTTTTCTAATAAGAGAGAGGGTACTGTTACAGTATCCTTCTTAGATCCTAGACATAACTATATTAGACATGTACTAGAGTATTATTAGTGCATGTCTAACATAAACATAACACAACATAGACATAAACTTAAGCATAAACTACTTTAACACTAACTAAACCTAAAATAGGCTTAATTTATACTTAAAGCGCTTAGACTTTTAAGCTAAGTATTTAATTACTAATTTTTTTTTAAACTTTTTTGTTCCTTACATAACGTCTTATACATACTATAATACCTTACATAGTAATTAAACTAGACTTCTGTGAAGCTCTATAACCTTACTCGTGCACAATCGTAACACCTATCTTATACAACTTTGTTGCCTAAACTTATACTATGTTTAGTATTAATTTTAATTTTTTATTAAGTATGCTGTAGTCTGCTTTAGGTCTTAAAATTTTTACTAAGTAGTATGCTACTAGGTGCTATCTTTTATCTTCCTATTTCTAGTAAAAGGCTGCGCTGCTTGCTCTTAGGGACGCATCTATATAAATTTTTGTATCTAATTGTAAGTTGTACATGCGTAGTACAGGTTTGATAGTTATAGCTTGTTTTAATTTCTTAAAGGCGTTGTCTATTTATAAAGTTTAGGTAAATTTTATAATTACTCTTTCCTTAGTTATAGTGTTTATTAGGGGTAAAGTAATTTTTAAATAGTTCTTAATTATTTGCCTAATGTATCTAGATAGCCCTAGAAATTCTTTAACTTCTTTAACTATAGTAGGTTCTAGCTAGTCTAAGACTTTTTATATTTTAGCTAGATTAATTTTAATTTTGTTACTATTAATTATAAATCTTAGATATTTAGTTTTAGAGACATAAAATTTACATTCAGATAGCTAGAGATAAAGTCTATATTTTTATAGCCTGTCTAGAACATTTTGTACTTTCTGTATATAATCCTCTAGGTTTTCTTTTATGTAGATAAGAACGTTATCTAGATATACTAGCGTAAAGACATTAAAGTAGTGGTTTAAAGCTGTATTAATAATCCTTTAGAATGTAGCAAAGGTGTTTGTGAGGCTAAATAGTATTACTAATAGCTTATATAGTGTCTATAGAGTTTAAAAGGCTGTTAGCTATTTATCTTCTTTTTTAATTTATATCTTGTTAAATCTATTTTATATATTAAACTTTATAAAGTACATAGTTTCTTTTAACTAGTTTATTATGTCTTAGATAATTAAAAGAGAGAACTAATTTTAGATTATGTTGTTATTTAAGGTTTAATAGTCTTAATAGACTTTAATTTTTTCTTTCTTCTTTTTTACAAAAACTACTGCTAAGGCTACTAAGCTATGGCTTTCTTAAATATAGCCCTATGCTAGCATTTAGTTAATGTACTTTTATAGAGCTTTCTTCTATATCTTTATTAAAAGGTAGAGTTTATAAGTTTTTAATTTAGGATCCTTTATTAGGTTTATAGCATAGTTCTATAGCTAGTGTAGAGGTAGTTCTTTTAGGTTTTTAAGTGTTTTAAACATGTCTCTGTAATTCTTGTACTTAGTAAGAATACTGTATTCTTTCTAAATTTTGTAGATACTAGCTTATTTAATGTTTAAGTTAGCTTTAAGTTTCTTATAAAATACTTTTTTTAGCTCTTCTTTTATTACTTACACTGCTCTAGCTTTAGGTTCCTAGCAGGAGAATTTCTAGAGTATCTGTTTCTTTAAGTAGTAACTGCTACCCTATTTTACTTATTTGTAGACTAGGCATAAGTTATTATAGCATGCTAACTAGGTTATCTGTATGTAGTTATTACTATTTTTAATAGTTATTATTTTCTAATTAATACTAAAATTATGCTTTTTAAGCTAATTATAGCCTAAGATTATATTATATTTGTCTTTTAACAAAAGTATACTTATAAACTTTTAGTTCTTTATGTTTAGTGTTTTTAAACTTTCTTTATAAGTTTCTAGGTTAATCTATCCTCTGCTATACTCTAGTAATAAGGTGTTAGTAAAGGTTACCTTAAATAAGTTTTTCTTAATTTAAAATAAAATGCTTTGCTAGTCTATCTAGTTTATGTCTATAGTAGTAAAGGTACATCTACTGTTAATAAAGGCTAGCTCTATTTATATTTTAAATATAAAGGTTATAGTTAGGCTTTAACGTACTTCACAGGCAAGTTGCTTACACACCTAAGTTGCTTACTTTTACTAAGACCCTACTAAACTACTTTATTTATACTAATGCATTTCTAATAACACTACTTAGACATGCTAAAAAAATATTAAATATAGCTTACACTTTAAGCTTTTAAATAAAACATAAAACTTTTAAAAAAACATGCTATAGCTATATATAAAGTTTTTTAAAAAATAATAAATAACTATAGCGCTAGATAACTTTTATAAGCTAATTTTATAGCTAACTTATAAAAGCTAAGTAATAATAAAAAGTAAGTAATTATTAAAACTATACTTAAGCTATATATATAAAGATTTTTCTCTTAAATAGCATTTATAGCTAATATAGCTAATTTTTTACACACTAAGTGTAATCTAGGCTATATTAGTATAAACTAGCTTAGTATGTTTATAAAGTATTATTTAAAGCTTAAAGTAAAGTTTTAAGTGTAAGTATAGTTAATAGATATTTAGCTTATAATAAAGCTTATTTTACTAAAGTTATATATGTTATTATTTTAAATGCTATACTTAGCTTTAATATTTTTTATAAGGCTAAACCTACTTTAAATTACTTTAAAACTTTTATAAAAAGCTTTTTTATAGTTATACTACACTTAAATGTTACTTTAGAGTTTAAATAACACTTTTTAAATATACTAGGCTAGTTTATGCTAATATAGCCTAAATTGCACTTAGTGTGTAAAGAATTAGCTATATTAGCTATAAATACTATTTAAAAATAAATTCTTATGTATATAGCTTAAGTATAGTCTTAATAATTACTTACTTTTTTTTATTACTTAGCCTTTATAAGTTAGCTATAGAATTAGCTTATAAAAGTTATCTAGTGCTATAGTTATTTATAATCTTTTAAAAAACTTTATATATAGCTATAGCATATTTCTTTAAAAGTTTTATATCTTATTAAAAAGCTTAAAGTATAAGCTATATTTAATATTCTTTTAGCATGTCTAAGTAGCGTTATTAGAAATATATTAGTGTAAAAAGAGTAGTTTAGTAGGGTCTTAGTAAAAGTAAGCAACTTAGGTGTGTAAGTAACTTGCCTGTGAAGTACGTTATATAACTTATTAAAAGTATAATAGCATAAAAAATTAAGTAAAAGACTAATTGTTTAAAATAGTTACCTATTTAGCCTTAGCGCTGAATTAATTCATGGATCTAATCCAGATCCAGGATAGCGCCACGTGATTCCGGATAATCGATTCAGACCGATTCCCGCCAGCACTGACCGTAGTACGGCCTGTTGGAAGCCCTGGCATGAACCATAGTGGAGGACAATACCCAGACGATGCGAACGGGTTGAATGTCCTTGAAACATCCCTTAGAGAACGAAAAGTGGAGACAACGGGCGAATTCAGAATATGCAGAGGTTTGGAACTCCCAGGATTGGTTACTGAGCCGCCAACATGCATGGGCGTCGTCACCACTGTCGCCTACAGGTTGGGCAATTAAAATTTTTGCAAGTGGCGTTGTAGTGTACCCACATGTAGGGATACACTGGCTCAGCATTTAGAAATTGCTGTTTCTATGTAAAAAAAAGAGATCGGCGGAAAACTACGGACCGGTCTGTCACACTGGGTCGCGTCAATTTAGCTTTTTAGCCCCATTTCTCTTGAACCACGCCACAGTTCTGCATATACCTTCCTCCGTTGTCACCTTCGGTTCATATCCTAGCCTCTCTCTCGATTTCTCGATTGATATCCTAATGCCTTTACGAATATACAAGAAGTTCTGTCGTGAAACATACGGCCATTTGCGGCAGAGTGTTGCAATGCGGTAAACCCATTCCCAGACTGCTAGCAATGGGAACAGCAGCCAGAACGGGATGACGATGAACTTTGGGTTTTGGCTGTTCATGTTCCTGTCCCCTGCTTCCTTGAAGATTGCCCGTGTGAACTGATGGAATTTCATGGGTGTTCCATCCGTGATGAAGAATGCTTCGCCGCAAACTCCGTGGGGATCTCCCAGCAATTTCCTTGTAGCCAAGACGTGCGCCAGCACTGCATTTTCGATGTACAGCCATTCGTGAACGGTGGTGTCCGGACCGTATTGCATGCGTGCGCCTGCAGTATTGACCATCGCTAGCATGGCAGGCACAATAGTGCTATCGCGGGGGCCGTAAAGACCAGGAGTGCGTAGACACACTGTGAGTAGATAATCTCCCCAGTCTTTTGCACCGTTCGGCTTTGGGGAGTTCGCCTCGCGGACCAAGGTATCCGCGGCACCTTTCGTTCGGCAGTACCAGTAGTCTTTAGATTTGAGGTTGTTTACACGCGCCTCGTCCTCTCTGAGCGGACTGCTAATGTGGCCCAGAGCGGAGGAGCACGCCTCAATGGAGCTGGTGTAAATGAAAGCCTGAACGCCAGCGTCTTGTTTTGCCGCCTCGAGTAGATGCTTTGTTGCGGCGTAGTTGACCTCAAGTTGGATTTCCTTCGTCGCAAACGGTCCTGGTGATATCGTATGGATAATTACTTTTGGCTGGAAGCGTGCTAAAATCTCCTTCGTCTTGTCGAAATCTGTGATGTCGCAAAGCTCAAACTTAACCTTAGGTATATATTTACGCGATTTCTTCCGATTCCGGCCGGTCATAATGACTTGATGGACTTTGGGCATGGCGGCAAAGGCCTCAACGATATGAGATCCTAGAAAACCCCCACCTCCTGTGACTAGGATCGTTCCCCATGAATCTGTTTCGACGTTGTTGCTCATGGTTACTTCTGATGAGAAGCGTAGGAGATGGTTTGTTGAAATTTGTTGAAGATAAGGACTGAGAAATTTGATCCACTATTTGAATTACACACTGTTCATCAAATGGGGAATTTGCGTCCGCACGTGATATTTAAGACTACAACCGCCCAAGGCACATCATAGCGACTGGGAGCGTGACTAGGATACGCCACACCATGCCTCCATGCACCGGCTTGGGCGGCAGTTTATCCCGTCCACTCGTCTCACCAGCAGCCAGCAAGGCGCTGCCGGGCTGCATATGCACATAATCAAAGTCCAACAATCGATACGGATAACCAGACCCATTCGAAACAAAAGAGCCGATCCGTATGCGTGTCAGACGTGAAAAAATTCGGGGAATCGTAGAAAACCACAGGGCATTTAAGATACTCTTCACAGACATTGGGTCGAGCATCAAGGAACTCGACATTCAGGCTGCCATCCGCTTCGCACCCACAGTTCAGAGAATACGACTCCTAATGCAGATAGAATGCCAGTTGCTTCTGGCTTCGCTGCTCCTACCACAAGATCAATTATGCTGGCAAAATCAACAAGGCTACTGCAAAGGTTATTTTCATTGCTCATGTAACGATTCTACGAATCGTTCCATCTCAGGTCGCTCGGATCCTATCCGAAGGGTCCCCGTATCGGCCCCGACCATGACTCGACCCAGTCCCCCGCAGTTACCCCTATTCCCGCATGTATTTAGTCGCACCTCGCCCCTGTAGCTAGCTCAGTAGTTTTCTAATATCCTACATACCAGGCCTATAGGTGTCATTAGTATTCCCAGGTCTCTAAGTCCCCACGCACTCCCATATGCCTCTAAGTGGATTCATACCGCATTTAGACCTATTGTCTTGCCTGCGCTGTTACATTATATTAGAAAACTTACTTTTGCTAGTAACAGCCTTATTATAATATTACATTAATTATTTATTTAACTACGTCTAACTCTAAAAAGCGTCTAATTTAGTTTAGGTTACTATTTTTATACACTATCACATTAAATTATTTAGTTAGTATAGACAGGATTCTAAAGACCTTCTGTTAACTAAAGCCTTTAGGTTTAGAACTTTCTATCCCCTGCAATTAGAATTGCCTTTAAAAAAGTTATAAAAAGTGCGCTAAGGTAGAAACTTAGAGACTACTAATAACCTATTAAGATTAAAGACAACTACTAATGCCTAACTCTTAACTACTATTAGATTTTATTACAAAGACTGCAACCTGTTCTAGCTGCAGCTAAGGCAAGATGCTTACCTCTAGAACTAAACTACTACTAACCTTAATAGCTAAACCCCCTTTTATAGGACTAGAAGCTAAAAACCTACTAGATTTAAAGTTAAACTCTAGCAGTATAGCCCTTAAGAACTAAGTTGCTTAATTAAGGGCATAAATTAAATAGCTAACTAGATTAAAAACTATTAGTCCTAATTAACCCCTACTAACTACTAAATTACTTATAATAATGCCTTAAATTACTCTTACTACGTTAATAGCAAAAGACTTTTTAGGCACCCCTAAGCTCCCTTAAAGCTACCTTACTAAACATATGCCTAAGATTAAGAACTTTACAGATAGCAAAAAACCTATGTTTAAATAATAGCAAGCCTTTATTATAGATAGACTTAACATTAATGCAGATTACTATTAAAGTAAGCGCGCACGCATGGCGTTAGTATAAGGACACACTGCTAGTATTACAAAGGAATACCTAGAGCCTAGATACCTAGCTAAATTAGACAACTTTTAGTTTAAAAACACAAAAAAAATAATTAAGCTCTTACAAATGTACTTTATTACTAGCAACAAAAAGATAAAGGCGTAACAAGTGTTTTAGACTTTAAGAATAAGTAAAAAAAAAGCATTTTCTACTTTTAAAGCTTACTTTATTAGTGCTGCTGTTAAAAGGTTTATATTAAAAGCAAAATAGTTTTTCTACTTATAGAAAAAGATACTACCTAGCCTAAAAGTACTAAACTTAGGTTTTAAGTACACTTAGAAAGGCTTCTTTAAGACTATAGTAGCCTACCTAATAGCCTATAATATAAAAAGAAGGAACACTCCTGCTATTTTAAAGTAAACTGTTAATCTTACCTAATAGTCTACTATTAGACCTAGTACAGATTAGTCTTAGAAGGTTTCTAGTAATACATCTAAGGCAGTATACTATTCTAGTGCACCCTAACCTACACCTCTGTTAGTACCCTAGTCCACCTTAGTTACCCATAGACAATCTAGCCAGACACCTGCCCTAGAAAGACAGACAACTCCTAGCAACTATTACAATTATAGAAAACTAGAACATTTTGCTAGCAACTGCCTTATCCCTAGAGTACAAAAAATAAAGGTGAAGCAGTAAGATTCTAAAAAAGAATTTATAAACATAAATAATTTTAATCTAGATGCCTTCTAGATAGGAAATAGCAACACCTAAAAAAACTCTTTATTTTAAGCTTAAGTAAGTATAATCTATTAAATATTAATCTATTACACTTATTTAGAGGAAAACACTTCTAAGTTGCTACTATTTTATATTTAAAAAGCATTAGAGTCTGTTTAAATCTTTTAGTTAATACTAGTGCCTATAGTGTCTTATTTATTAACTTACTAACTACTAAGTTATTATTTTAATGCTTTTATATCCCTATTTAACACTTACTATTTAAAGTTATAGTTAAAGGCTTTTAAGATTAGATCTAAGTCCCTATCTACTAGTATATCTGCCTACACATGCAAATTAATAGAAGAAGCATCTAAAACTGCCCCTTTATTATTATAGACCTTAGCTCCTAGGATTATATTATTAGCATTAAATAGTTATGTTATTTTAATCTCTATCTAGATATAAAGAGAAATTAGATTATATAGCCTAGCAAATATCTGCCTACTTACAAACCTTTACTGCCCTTGCTTATGCAATTAACCTAGCCTGCGCATAATAAAGAAGTGGAGCTAGATATTAAATAACACAACACACTATAAGAAAAAGACTAATTTTAGCAGTTATACAGCCTAATAATCTACTGCATTAAGGGTTTGCTAAGGCTACTAAAATTATATAGATCTCCTATTATCTACAGTCTAAAAACACTTAAATTATCCTTCCACCTATCTATTAAGAAGTCTAGAATAGGTCTAAAGAAGGTCTATTTAGCTACTATTACTCTAATTTTAGCAAATGCTTTTTATTTTAACATAAAAAGAAAAAAAAACAAGTTTTTTTTAACTTCTATTTATAAAATTAAGTAGTTAATTAAAGATAAGTAAGCCTTATAGTTAGATGCTAAATATAAAACTAAAGCATTAGTAAACCTTTAATTACTATCTAAATACTATTAGTACTAAGATGTATTTAGCCACACAGCAGCTCACCAGCTACTAGTACATTGTCTATATAACTACAAGATTGTCCTTACAGAGCCTCTCTCTAACAGTTACAGTCTGTTGTACAAACAGAACCTTAAAAAGCTAGAGGCAATAAAGAAATACATTATAGACAATCTAAAATATAGCTTTATTAAGTAGAGTTAGAGCCCTTTTACATCTTTTATTCTTTATGTATAGAAACTAAATAGCAACTTATATATCTACGTTAATTACTGCAAACTTAACGCTCTTACCTATAAAGATGTGTATCTAATACTGCGCATAGACAAACTCCTGTTAAGACCTACTAAGGCAGTAATCTTTACTAAGTTTAATATTTACGCAGCCTTTAACAAGATTAGGATAGATCTAAGCTCTAAAAAGTGTACTACCTTTTAGACATAATATAAAACCTACAAGTGTAAAGTTCTGCTTTTTAAATTATGCAATAGTCTAGCAACTTACTAGTGCTATATAAATAATGTATTAATTAACTATCTAAATAATTTTTACATTACTTATCTTAATAACATTTTTATCTACTTTAAAGACAAGGCAACTTATATTCTTTATGTTAAGAAAGTTTTAGAAAGGCTCTAGTAAGCAGAATTACAGGTAGAGATTAAAAAGAGTAAATTTTATATTACTTAAACAAAGTATCTTAGCTATATACTTTTAAATAAAGGACTAGAGGTTAACCTAGAGAAAGTAGAGGTGCTACACAACTAGCAGGCACCTACTATTGTAACAGGTGTGAAATCCTTTCTAAGCTTTACTAGATTTTATTAGTAATTTATTCTAAAATTTTCTTATGTAGTAAAACTAATTATTGCGCTTTAAAGCTCTACTACCCTTTTTATATAGACTTTAGAGTGTAATGTAGCTTTTAAAAAGCTAAAGTTTATGCTACTAAGTATACCTACACTCTACTATTTTAACTTTATGTTGTAAACTAAAATTAAAACTAACACTTTTAATAGAGTAGTAGCAGAAGTCCTTTCTTAGAAATAAGTAGATAAAAATTAGTACCCTGTATTATTCTATAGCAAGGTCCTATCTAGTTTAGAGCTAAACTAAGAGATACATAATAAAAAGCTATTTGCAATTATTACTATGTTTAAATAATAAAAGGCTAAGCTTACATCTATAGCAATAAGCACCCTAGTATATACTAATTATTATTTATTAGAGTACTTTATAATAATAAAGGTGCTAAATGCTTGTTAGGTCTATTAGGCTAAAAAGTTAGCTTAGTATTACTTCTAAATTAAGTACACCTCTAGTAAGAATAATGCTAGGGCAGACATTCTTAGTTGTTGTAAACAAGACATAGAGAATTTAAAAGCAGCTTAAACTAATAATAAGTTAAGGGTCCTACTAGAACTACACTAACTACACCCCTAAATTAACTCTAAACTAGCCTAGTACTATATTGCTTAAACAATAACTTAAGCAGCTACACTAAATGTTATAAAAGGACTAGACTAGGTTATGTCTCTAGATTCTTTAAAATTAATTAACACATTACTTTAAAAAAATTAAGCCTCTTTTACACAAAAGTAAGAACTCTTACTCTGCTATTATTAGATAGGAAATAGACTACTCCTCTATGCTAACTGCTTATGTGTGCTAGCAGACTTATTA